CTGTATCTGTATCTGTATCTGTATCTGTATCTGTATCTGTATCTGTATCTGTATCTGTATCTGTATCTGTATCTGTATCTGTATCTGTATCTTTATCTGTATCTGTATCTGTATCTGTATCTGTATCTTTATCTGTATCTGTATCTGTATCTGTATCTGTATCTGTATGTGTATCTGTATCTGTATCTGTATCTGTATCTTCATCTGTATCTCTGTTCTTAAATGTTTCCATATCGCTTTTATATCTATATCTGTCGCTGTGTCTGCACTTAAGTCTGCATCGTGTCTACGGCAACAGCTGCAGTAGGAGAAACGCATCAGTTAGTCAACTGTGCAAATAGTTGTCACCATTTGTAGCAGCCAAGATCCACATGCGAGTCGTGCCTTGGAGCGCTTCCCTTGGCTGTTGTGATTCGGTTGGCCTCACAGATTTTACGTTAAATTACACGGTCTGCGTGAAGTGATAAAATGTTTCCTATGTGGCATGCGACATTTAGTTGGCTTGCTGCAAGTCAAACAGATGAGAGATGGGCTGCCTTTTTATCAACAAACTAATGATGAGACTGAAGTAGAAGACAATTCGAGATGAGTTCTACTATCTAACCAATTTCATTTCGCTATTCTCTTCTTATAGCACATGCCTAACTGGATTCCCATTGGAATCTTACCTAACAACATGATTTGTCGAAGGTTCCAAGATTTGTCGACAGAGGGCTACAGGCTCTAATAACATGCGTTAGTCAAATTATCTGAACTGGAAAATAAAATCTCATCAGCATATACATATGTATATGTAGGGCTTTCGCCCGCTCCATATGAGGAAAATATGATAATTTTCCATCAAATTACAAAGTTTTTAGCTAAATGAAATAGTCTGAAGCATACAAATTAATATGTTCAATTTCTTATTCAACACTTTATATAATTGCAGCAGAGAAGAAAATCATATCTTATTAGCTGCAAGCAAAGCAAAATATTACTATAGATATATACATATATTTAAAGCTGTCTGTAATTACCATTTCATTTAAATGATCAACAGGCTTGTCAACGCATATTAGTTGCAATCGGCTACGATTGAGAACAAGTGTTTAACTGGTTACATAAATATTAGAATTATTACTCATATTAAGTGAAACAGTCAACCGATATACTCTATTCGAAACATATACAATTTACTTAATATTCAAATCGGATTAGCTACGACAAAGTCATTATAAACAGCTATGCATCATTCAACTTCATATTTCGAACCTATATATAAAGACGTCGGTGGTAAAACCAATTTTATGTTTGTGCTGTGAATTCTCAACTTAAATACAAACACTTTATAAAGATGGAAAGATGTGCGGAAGTGTTCGCGATTGTAATTGCACTTTCTGCAGCGACTTTGGCAAACAAAGCTGTGGACGAGCATCAGGTGGGTCTATAATATTGAGGAAAAAATAGAATTTGACCAAATTTTCCTCAGTTGGATAAAAAACTCTCATCGACCTTCTGCAATGGGCGCATCGAATATTTTGAGGAGAAATTAGCATTGAAAACCAAGGAAGTTGATGAACTCCAAAAGAAAGTTGATAAAATAAATCAGAAGGGAGATAATGTTGTTGTTCTCGATGCTCTGAAAGAAGATATAGAAACTTGCCAAAAGGAATTACGTGAAGTGGAATCTAATGTAGAGAAATATGAAGATCAGTATCTCAAGAAGAAAGCAGAGCTTGCTGACGCCAAAGAGGAATTGATAGCTCTTAGGAAAGAAAACCATTTAAATGTGAGCAAATTGAACAAACCATATCTGGAATGTATAGAGCAGTTGAAACTACTCAAGTACCAGCAATTTCAAGTAAATCAATATTTTGAAGAGCACAAAAAGCGTGAATTAGTTATATTGGACAATATTGAAGAATGTGAGAGAACAACAATGAAAGTTGAAGAAGAAATGGCGAAATATGTCGATATGGTATTCATGACAATGCATTTAGAATTATTAAGAGTTGAGAGGAGATCCCAAGAACTGACATGCGATGCAAAACATTTTGCTAAACGATGGATTACATTTTCAAGTAGGGGAGGTAGCGGACGCAAATTTAATGTGGATGTGAATGCACTAGCTGAAGTAGCGGGACATACGGCACGCAAAGCAAGCGAGCTATACGTTAATTTGGTCGATAGGAATGGAATGATCTTCTACGCCAGATATAATAATTTTAAAATCGCAAATAAAACAGAGGATTTCAAATTGCTATCGCTTGGACAATATACGGGCACCGCTGGCGATGGCATGCGAATCTTCGAAGGAAAGCGCTTTTCGACGAAGGACAGCGGCCCTAGGAAAGAATGTGCTGAGAAAAACAACGCTAATTGGTGGTATGGTGAATGCAATCCCAGGTAATTCAATTTATGAAACTATGGTTTGGCATGATTGATACTACTCAATTCTTGACAATAATTTCACTTTATAATTTATAGGTTTAACGAATGGCTAGCTTCTGATTCTATTGCCTACCCCTTGAAAAAATTTTCACTACGACTTTTAAGTCCTGAAAATCCTATACACTAACTTATTTCAAACTCCTTCGCATGAAGTTTCGAAAACTGGAATACAGAAATGTTTTTATAATTATATACAAGTAAATAAATATTTGGAAATAAATTGAAAATTCGCAAAATGATTTTTGTTTATTATTTTCATAACTAGAAAATAACATTTTATAACTGAATTCAGAAGGTAAGGTATGTATCAAACTGGAAAAGTACTTGATTTTTGGGAACATACTCAATCTGTGAGTGCTATACAGCAAAAATCCAAGTCTCTAGACCAACGCGTTGCAAATACGTTTAGTCCATATCAAAATATTTATTTATCGGCTACGCCCACATCTCTAGCTAACAAAATATTTGTGTTTTCCGTCTAAAAATAAAAGGATTATATTATATAATATACACATAAGATAATTATATTTTGTCATGGAGAAAAGGTTTTATTGTGTATTACTGTTGTGAGCTGACATGTTTTATTTGTATGCCCAATGCATATGCCAAATTAGCCATATTCAAATTGGATTGGCTACGAAAAACTTATTAGAAACAGCTACGCATCGTTTGGCTGCTTATCGAGATCCAATATATAAAGACGTCGACAGTGAAGTCAAGCTTAAGTCTGTACTGTAAATGCACAATAGATCTACATAAATTAAAAAATAGAATGATGTTAATACGGATAGAAGTATTCGGGATTCTAATAGCTCTATCTTTAGCGACTTTGCCAAGCCAAGTCTCATCCGCAAGGGAGGTAAGAACACTAAGCTGTGGTGCAATCTGTGTATGTGTGTATTTGAAGAGTAGAAAGCAAACTTAATAGTTTTTT